AGCAAGTTCATGTACAGCAAAGCATTCAGTTGCAGCGCGGTCCGTGGGTCAGATTTGCCGAAACCCCGCTCGAAACCGTCGAAATCTACACTCTCGATGAAAAGGTTCCATTCCCCCATTTCATAACCTTTGGAGCAGTATGTGGTAGGGTTAGATAGAGCTGGATTTGCTACTACCGGGCAATATTGAAATTGATCTAAAATCTTTACACTCGAAGAGATAGGGTCTCTCAAATTTGTCGAGGGAGCGTCGAGGATGCTGAATTTTTCATGCGAGTTTTTGCCACTTAAAAGGCAATATCTCTCTAATTTCGTAAGATTGGAAAAAGGAAGACAGTTTTGGAAAGCGGAAGGTTTGCGCTTTCTAAGTCTGTTTAGCTTCTTCTACATTTTCTAGTTGAGGAGATATTTGCGTCGAGGATCTATCAAGGATGATTCTCGGCCGCTCAAAAAGCCGCTCCCTTCTTCACCATTGCAAGTGTAATTCGTTGGCAACGCTCGAAATGTGTCTAGAATAAATTCTCCCAACATAAGCAATAAGAAAAGGGGCAATCGTCATCGTCCGATTCGTCTCAGTATAGGCCATGCATCCGACCTCCACTCAAGTTGTAGAATCTATTGAAAGGTGTTATACATATGATGATGACCTGTTGACAGAAACTGTATTGTAGTAAACACATTTCGTAACTCCTGTAACCTAAGGAACAGCTTCATTTGCCCAGGGTCTTTCCAGAACGGTTGTCGTTTTTGCGACAGCGTCCCTAACAACAGTGTCATTCTCAACGAGGTATTAAGGGAGAAGGAGCGGGCGGTAGATAGAGGAAATGCCTTCGCAGCGCGTGTGCACATGTGACCCTGTTCCTTGCGAAGATGCACTTTCATTCTTTGTAGTACTTTCAAATACTTCCTTCTCGAAGGTAGAGGGACGGAGCGACTGAACCTGCAAAGAATATTTTATATCATGTTTCCTCACATATCCTTGTTTTCTGTGCGCTTCCGCTCCCTGCGTGATACCTGTTTTCTGCCTTAAGCTACTCCTATCTGTGCACACGAATGCGCACCTGACGTTGCCGACCCCCATGAAGAGTAACTACCCCTCAATGACCACCTTTAATACCAATACGACCCCGTCGAGCGAATCCCTCGACGAATTACCCTGTGTCTCGCAGTGAACGTATGTACCAGAATCTCTCGAAATTCTTCGAGCCAGATGCGAAGAATGTTCGATATGACACCATTGCTTTCTTGTCCTACACCCCGAGTGTTATCCAGCCGACACGCAGCGTATACTACTTAACTCTTGGCCTTGTGTATTATGTAAAAGGTATACTTTCGAAAACAACAGATTATTGCTGTCTACTTCGTATCAGAACACCCTATTTAGTTAAAATACCAGGTCTGGACTATGGTTGCGATACTCCATTTTCATCCAGGATACGAAGCTCATTCTTCTACAGTCTTACGCTGTTGTAATTGCAGCGCTTTGGCTTTTGAATTGCATGTGAATATGTGGCTATCTCGCCTCAAAAGGCGTAGAACTCTAGCAGTGTTCCAATGGAAAAAAGTACGACATACTCACATATTGGTTTCAGCGACGTCTCATCACGAGCTTGGTTGATTCGTCATGCCGCATAGCGACCGTGATTTTCCTTATAGATTTTACTATATTCAGGCATTGAATGAAGACATGGGAACAGGTGTGTTGAATTGTGTACGCCATATCGCTATTGCAACTATTCAGAGCGCATCTGAACACGGTTATCACCAACTACAGACTGTGGTACTTTTACACGAAAACCTAACGCCATCCCTAGCTCCGATGGGCTGGCGCAGAGTAGTCGCCCATACAGTGCGTTTCATAACTTATAGTGTCATCCCTTAAAGATATTGCCAGCAGCCAACTGGTGACTTTTCCATATCACCAAATGATTCCCCACTACGAATAACCCCTGTATCGCAATTTTGGTGGGAGCAGCTTTTCTTCGAACTTTTTTGTAATTATTTTTCGATTTTTGCACCGTTTCATAATATAAGGTCACCCTGAGAAAAAGAACAATTACCTAAGATTAATGACAGATAAAATAGACATAATAATGTATGGTTCCTCCTTTATCAAGGGCAACATTGAATAGTCTCCGTGGCCTACCGGAATTGAGATTCCAAGGCAGATCACCATCGATTCACTTCCGTGTTCAAGGGTTGCTTGTACACGCTCTTGTGTAATTTTTAAGGCGTTTATCTGCACTAATTTACTCATGACGAAGATGCCCCTGAGATGTTCTACTAGAACACGACTAGAAATTCAGAAAAATTTGCTCAGTTCATCAGGGTTTCGAGAGAAATGCTGCTTCTGGTTGAATGACCTACATGGGTACCTGTACTGTTCTGTATGACCACGTAGGCTAGCCGACTTCATCAGCTCAAGGAAGAGGTCAAATGTCCTCGCAAGGCTCTATGCTAATCTTTGGAGTCCATTATGCAGTTTATGGAAGCGAAATTTTGACACAACATCATCACAAAAAGCACCCACACCTTTCACATTTCCTTAACTAAAATTGCAAGCGCTGAAGTGAATCGGCCACCTTCGCAAGTCACTTCAAAAGTGTTTATATTCGCAGGATCTGTTTGTATAAACCAGTTTTGTCCAAAAAATACCAACTTTACTGGAATTATCTTGCTATATGGTGCCACTGTGGAGCAGACTCAAACCTTGTTCAAACTCTTCTTCAAGTTCAACTTTACGGGGTTGAAGTTGTACCACTTTGCAATGGCTTGGACTGAGGCAATTCGGGACCGATCTTTTGATTTGCTTTCCTGGTAATTGTGTGCTGCCTAGTTAGCTTCACTCGCAGTTATATTTTCACAGATAGAAACAATAAATCTCAAAGGCACGACGGCCATTTGAAGCGAGAAATACATTGCACTCGGACAACCCTCATACTCTTCTCTATCATTGGTTATAGAGAAAACGATTTTGTGGGGACTGTTTCTGATATTGTAGAATTCTGGGAGAGCGATAGGAGTCTTCTTTCAATTATCCATAAGCAGTGCTAAAAACTGTCCGAAGATCTTTGGAAAGACTCGCGAAACGTGTCAAGCACCATGAAATGCAAAAACTTTGCCTTTTCTTCAGAAGGCGAGTACGAAACATTCCATAAATTTAGCTACTGGGTGTGTTTGTAACAAACATTCAATTTCACAGGCAGGTTGGTTGTTTCCGATAATGTAGTATTCATTTTCACAGGGTGACCTTATATTATGAAACGGTGCAAAAATCGAAAAATAATTACAAAAAAGTTCGAAGAGAAGCTGCTGCTCCCACAAAAATTGCGATACAGGGGTTATTCGTAGTGGGGAATCATTTGGTGATAGTGGGAAAATCACCAGTTGGCTGTTGGTCCCGGGCAAATTGATTGAGGTGCCTTATGAGTTATGAACGCACTCTGCTATGATGGGATTGTAGGTGACATTTACTGTGTATGGTGTACTTTTTGGCACAACTTTTTTTGCTGCGCACGAAGTTTGGAGGATAGGAATGCAACGTGACTCCTGTTGTATAGTTTCTATTCCAAGTCAACAGTTCACAACGAGCTAGCTGCGACAGCTATGAAGTTTTCAGTTAACAAAGAGTTGCTGAGGCTTGAATTCGTTTCGACCTCAGGATAGCGGAAGTAGGTATGGACACTTATAGAGTCTAGACACTCCAGTGAGATTATTGATTTTTTGGTGTTTATTTTTTACTCATATGATTGTTTGCTTTCTTTCATACCAAATGAAGTGGTAGATTTTAGCGCCGCCCTATCAAGAATCATATATGAGATCCGCTCATTTTCGGATTTTTGGTGTTTATTATTTTACTATTGATTTTTCTTTCCTTTCAATACTACCCCAGGAACCGTCCGTTTTGAAAAGCACTTTTATGCTGAAGGGACTACCTGTTTGCTCGATGCCAGCATGTTGAGGATTGGTGTGCCTATATGGTGCTCAAAGGATGCAAGTTTTTCTGCTATAAGCAAGCATATTTCAGGTAACTGGAAGTATTGCATCTGCAGCACAAATCGCTGGATCTCTCGTGTGCCCTTACCTCATCGTAAGTATTCGAATACTTCCTTTGATATATTGTTCCAATGCACTTTGAGTAAAAGATTCATTTCGACCCGAAGTAGATTAACAAATGAACAGTTCGACTCCAAAAATGTAGTCGAGTAGACCATGAACGCTAGTTCAGTATCTTTCTTTGCTACACTATACCAATTTAGTACAAAGCGGTGACGTCGAGATGCATCGATTTTGTTCCGCTCGCTCCGGTAGCCTTCACCTGGATAATGGAGTTACATGCTATCATCTACAGTATCGGATTAGATGACTTCTACATGCTGGTAAGAATTTTTTTTATCATTTCTGACTTTCTTCTGCGCTCACAGAAGGACGTTCCTATGTCGCTTGAAAAATTAGACCACAAGATAAAACAAACTCGTCAACTGCGGCAACTTCGGTTAGCCTTCTTTTAATTACTAACTTTCACGGACAACGTTAGCCCCATAAGACTCTTGCCGTGTTCAAATACCTTTGTGTGGCAAGTGTCCGGTTTGATCGTTCATTTTGGGCTTGATAGGCACCTTTCTTCACTGTATCCAACGACTAGTTCCTTTAGCCCTTTTAAAACATCTTTTATATTGTTCATCCGCAGACGATCCCCTAAATATACGTCCCTACCACCTTGAAAGGTAGCTCTAACGATAAGTGTAGAGGGTGCTAACCGAAGTGATGGCGATAATGGTGTGTTGCTGGGCTAGTTAAGCGTGCAAGCATAGTGGCATATAAGTAATTTGCTATAAATTCCAACAAATCATATCTTGCCAGAAAGGAGCTTTATCCAGTCACAAAATATGCCACGTAGTGTTTGCGCCGGCAGTAGTCGATATGTTTGTCGGTCAGTTCCACGTCGGATT